ACAGGCTGGGCTGGGGGACCCCCCCTCCCCCGTCCCCCGAGTGCACAAATTTTTGTGCACCGGGCCTCTAGTATATATATAAAAGCCCAGCGACCGGAACAGCAGAATGACCAGAACAACCTGTGGCTATGATGCACACTGCGGCAGCCAACCAGCCTGATCGGGTCCCTGATCCGCACCTGCCCCCTCCGGCCGGCCAGGCCCCCAATCGGCCTCCAACACCTCCAACCTGCCACATCTCCTTCCCCGGGTTGGCCTGATCTGATCGGCCCCGATTAGGGTGGGCCAGCCAGACCCCACCCGTGCACAAATTCATGCACCGGGCCTCTAGTAATAATTATAAACATATATGTACCTAATAAACACAGGACCAAAATACATGAAGCAAAAATGACAGAAATGAAAAGAGAAATGGACAACTCAATTACAATAGTTGAAGACTTCAATAGCCTACACTGATGATTAATTTTATGTGGAAACCTGGAGGGTGTTTTTGTATATGATGACCATTTAAACTGGTGAATCTGAGTAAGCAGAATGTCCTCCATAATATAAGTGGGCCTCATCCAATGAGTTGAAGGCCTGAAGAGAACAAAAAGACCAGCCTCCATGAACAAGAAATTTTCCTTCAGTCTTTATCTGCATCATCAACTCTCCTGAGTCTCAAATGGGCCAGTCTACACTGCAGGTATGAACTTAACAGTCACCATAATTAAGTAATAAAATGTTTTTTAAATAATTATCTTTTTTTTTAAGAGTTCAGGTAGAGGAGAGCTTTTTTATTTATTTATTTTTTTAAGCCCCAAGAATCAAGATGACTAATTAAGGAACCATTTACCAGAAAGCTGGGCTTCCCACTCATCCATGTTCAGAAGAGCTAACTGTAGTATTTTCCTACAACAAATGGCTGAGGACTACTTTCAAAACAACCATTTTCCTAATAACAGTTATCAGTAGGTTTAGAAAGCTACTGGTCCAAATTCATAAGCCAAAGGGCCACTATATAAATGTCTGAACATAGACATTTTTTATGACAAGAAAAGCAAAAAAGAAGGGCAATTAGAAATTCCGGGGTAAAATATGTTTTCCAGGAATACAAATATTACACAGACTTAAGTGTAGCACAATTTGGGTAACTAATTGACTATAAAGATGATAGTGATATTAGAAATATTCTTTTTGACAGATATAAATTGAATGGCACATTTTCCCTTCTCATCAGATCCAAGCATATTACATGGTTCTTTAGGAAATAAATATTTACATAATTATAAATTTACTAGAGGCCCGGTGCATGAATTCGTGCACAGGTGGCATTCCTCAGCCTGGCTGGTGACCAAGGCCTATCGGGGGGCCAATCGGCCAGAGGGAGGGACCCTGGGAGGTTGGCTTGCCAGCTCCCCAATCGGGGCCTATGGGGGGGGGCCAGCCAAAGGGTGTAGGGATCGCAGGAGGTTAGCCAGCCATGATGGAAGGGACCATGGGAGGCTGGCCAGCCAGCAGGGGTGGGAAGCCACGGGAGGTTGGCCAGCCGTTCTCCTGATCAGGACCCATGGGGGGGCAGCCAAGAGGAGGGGCCGCGGGAGGTTGGCTGTGGGAGTGCACTGACCACCAGGAGGCAGCTCCTAAGTTGAGCATCTGCCCTCTGGTGGTCAGTGCACATCATAGCAACTGGTCAACAGGTAATTCTGGTCATTTGGTTGTAAAGGTCGCTTAGTCTTTTATATTTATAGATAAATGCCACTTACAGGTTTCCAATTTCAAAGTCAACTCAAATTCCAATATCTCATAGTATAATCTATGAACTACAACAACAGAATTACCTGGAAAGCTTATTTAAAAAAAAAACAACTCCTAAATCTCATCTCTAGAGATTCAGTAGATCAGGGAAAGTCTCAGAGATCTACATTTAGGTAAATTCTCTAATATCTTATTCACAGTTAACTGTTACAGTAAATTTTGAGAATCTTTACTGTAAAGCAGTAACTCCAAAATTTTTCATTACATATCTATCTTATCAGCAAAAGGCTTTTGAGTGCCTACTCCCAATATATGTACATTTATTTATAAATTGTACATCATATATATATATATATATATATATACACACACTCTTTAATTGAAACATTAATGGAAACACTCCTTTGTAGTTCTTAACTAAGAGGGCATTCCACTGCACCATTGCTGATGTCATCTATGATGTCATGAGGGTGGCAGCCCACAGACAGGGTAGCCCAGAATTCTCAAATAAAGATTGTGTATTGTGTATTTTATATGAGAGGCCCGGTGCATGAAATTTGTGCACAGGGGCTAGGAGGTTCCTCAGCCCGGCCTGTGCCCTCTCCCAATCCAGGATCCCTCGGGGGACGTCCGACTGCCGGTTTAGAGGTTAGAGAAAAACCTTGTGAGAGAAAAACAAAACAGAGGCCAATCCAGCGAGGGTGAGTTCTGAGGAGCTCTGAGGAATTTCCTCCTTGAAGATTCGCCAGGCCAGGGAAGAGGGGAGGAAGGAGTGAATGAGTGTGTGTGTCTGTCAGAGAGAGAGAGAGAGAAAGAGAGAGAGAGAGAGAGAGAGAGAGAGAGAGAGACCCCAAAGACTCCAGACTCTTGTTTTAAAGCACAAAACTTTGCTTTCCCCACGTTTATCGCATGTTTAAACAGAAACCATCGTGTACTTCAAGCAACATGTGTTAGGGAAGGAGAATGCAGCCTTAAAGCAAAGGGTGGGGTGTCAGAAGTGAGTAACTCCTCTGGTACCCCCAGCTGAAGCTCCTCTGGGGCCTGCCTCTTTTCAAATCCACATTTATCTCTTGGCACGTAGGAGGTTAGGGAGCGCAGAATTATCCTGGGAGGGGAAGGTTAGGGGGACTGCACCTGTGGTATTCGCCCCAAGTTTCATTTCCTCACCCTCCTGGGTCGCTTTCCACCCCAACACTGATCCAGTTAATGGGGTCGGAGGTCTGCAGCTGGACACTTCCAGGCGGAGAGCGTGCTGGGGGCCAGGTGGTCCAGTTCCGAGGCCCCTACGTCCACGCCCCACCCCTGCCAGCTTCCCGCCTACCGGCAGCGGCTCAGGGTGTTCCGCCCTGCTGTGCACCAGACTCAATCCGAGTGGGTGTGGGGAGAGATTGGGCGACTCCACGGCAGGCGGCTCCGTGGCCAGCGCCTTTGAATTGAGTGCCACTGGGGGGAAAAGAAAAGCCTCCCCAGAAAGACGTTTTTCAAAAGCTTTCCTTCCCCCAGCTGCCAGCAGCTAGCCCCAGCCCCCGCCCACACCCGCCTTGACCTGGCGCCACCCCCATCCACCGCCACCCACCCTCGGTTCCCCACCTGCCAGCCGGGAGGTTGGCCAGCAGGCCCCGATCAGGTGATCAGGATGGTCAGTGTGCATCATAGTGACCAGTCATTCTGGTCATTCTGCCATAAGGGTCACTGGGCTTTTATATAGATAGATGAAAAATAGTAATATTAAATGATGAGAACAATGACCTAAAATATTTAATATTTGCTTCTGTCACAACCAAGAGTAAAGTGAAAATTAAAGAATAGCTTTGGAAAGTTAAAACATATAACAAATTAGCAAGTTTAAAAATATATAAAAATAAAAAAGAGGAAGATAAAGAAAGAATAACAGAAATGACAACTGAAGTGCCAAGAATATATCTCCTCAAAGGCTTATTCTGCTAAAAAAAACTGAGCGGGCAGAGTGATCACATTTTATCTCAAGGATGATTGAGGAAGTTACAAGGGTATGTTAACAAAAGACTTTATTCTGATTATCATAAGAGAAATCTGATTGATGAATTAGACATACAAGCAACAGGAGGAGAAACTGATTACACTATTTTAAGAGCTCACAATAATCAAGGACAGTGAAATTAAACATTGATATATATCACAGATTTTAAAAAGTTGAATGCCAGCAATAGTCGAATGATCCCAGGGCAAGTGACTCCAAATGTAAATGCAGTTCAAATTATCAAAAATAATATTCAGGTTACATAATCATGACTCCAATAAAGAAAAAGAAAAATGCATCCATATGCTTAGCTTCTCATTTAGGAAATGTAATGGAATTCATTTAATAGGAAAGCAAGTTTTTAATTGCTCTGCTAAGTGTCATGGGAGTACTGTATATCAAATGTTTGATAAGGAGTACCTAACATCACTCTGTTGTTTCTAATGACCAAGTAGAGGCCTAATAATCTACAGTTGAATAACGGCATCTCACACTGGATAATATAGTGTTAAGTGAAATCCCTCAACCTATTCCAGAATACTTACTACACTCTGGCAAGGTCATCCCAGGCTTTAAAGTAAATACTGCAATTATCTTAGGGGAAAATGGAGCATGACTAGGAAGATGCCAACAAGAGCAATCTAAGAGTAAGAAGCCAAACAACAGGGACTTCTCCAATTTTTAAAGTTGAGCTGTAATAGCTCATATCTCTCTCTCTCTCTCTCTCTCTCTCTCTCTCTCACACACACACACACACACACACACAGTTTACCCCTTTCTTGCAAACTTCCCAAATATGTCAGAATATGAGCAAGAGATATGGCTTACTTATCTGTACTACCTGGTGAACTGGCATCCCTTGAAATAAATCCAATACTTTTATCATCTGGAAATCAAATACATCTCTTTCAGTTAGCGATTTTCAACTGGTGTGCTATAAGAATTTTGAAAACATGCATTACCTGACTAGTCAGAGGCACTGACCTCTTTTCCCTTAGATTTTCAAATAAAAGATGACAACAGCCAACACAATGATAGCCATCTGGTGTGAATGAATCAAAATTATATTTTTTGACAGATGGGCAAAAAATATATTTTTTGGTGTGCCGCAGAAGTTTAGTAATTAGTTTATGTGTGCCATGAGATGAAAAAGGTTGAAAATTGCCACTTTAGGGGATTAACACCAAGTTCTAATTTTCATAATGAAGAAAAACAAATTCAACAAACGAAATACTCATGAAAAAATGACTCGGGCACTTACCTTTCTACAATCAAACTGACTGTTTGTGTGATATCTGGGTTTGTCACCTGGAGACGTTTCCACAAAGACCATACAAATTCTTTATCAGCCTTAAAAAAAAAGAAGACATTTTAAATGCATTGCTTTGTAGCTGTAACAGAGAAGACAATACACTACATAAAGTTAAAAATGAAAACACCATATTACTTGATTACTAGTACTATAACTATAAAATAGATTCTTAAAAAATATAGCGGGTAGCTTTATTTTAAAAAGTTCTTGTACTGATAACCCATATACACTTACACTATTTCTACCCTTCACATTTTAGAGTATAAACACTGAAATGCTGACTATCAAGGTAAATTTGATCTAAAAGGAAATGGCCCTCTAGCTATTGCTCCCTTTTCAGCAAAATTCCTTGAAAGAGCCCCTTCTGTCTCCATTTCTTTAATTCCCATTTACTCTATAACCTCCTCCAGTCAGATTTCCCTTCTCACTATTATGCTAAAATAATTTCTAAAGGTCATCTATATACCCAAATCCAAATGGACAATAAACAGTTTCAGTCCATAAGGCCTTGATCAGTTGTTATCAACTGTTGACTGCTAGGAATCACTTTTGGGGAGTTTGTGTTTTCTTTACATAGTGATGCTCTAGAGATTCTGATTTAATTTGTTTCAGGTAAGGTTCAAGTATTTTTTAAAAAATCCTGAGGTAATTCTGTGCACACAATTTTGAGAACCACAGCTCTAGGTGAACTCATTCAATCCCATGGTTTTACATATCAACTCTACACTGATGACTCCCACATTTCTCTTCCTAGCTGTCTCCTCTACCCATATCTTGAATCTCCAACTGCCTAACAATTCTACTTGAATGCCTAATAGGTATCCCAAATTTAACTTACCCAAAATAAAATGTTTGATTTCCTACCCTTTCCAAAACCTACACCTCTGTGTCTCAGAAAATGACACCATCTACTCATTTGTTCAAAGGCTTAGGATTCAATCTGAGTTGCTCTCTTTTCCCCACATTTCATAACCAAACCATCAGTAAATCCTATTGGCCTTAGCTACAAAATATATCCCAATTCTAATCACTTCTCAACTCTTCCATAACTATCACCCTTGTCCAAGTCAAGTCCATCTCTTGCCCAGCTCTCCACAATGGTCCCCGCCTGGCCTTTTAACAAGTCAAAATCCTCCAATTGATCCCTGTCAATTAGGAAAAGAATCCAAACTCTTTACCAAGACTACAAGACCCCCCATTATCTGGCCCCACATACACCTGTCCAACCTCATCTATCACTCTTTCCCTTGTTCACACTGCCTTTTTTGCTCCACCTGTACCAGAGCCTTTGTACATGTACTATCCACCAGATCTTCATGTAGATTATTCCTTCACTTCATTCAGGTCTTGGCTTAAATGTCACCTCTTCAGGAAGACTTCCCTAATTATACTTATAGCCACCAAAACTGGTAAGTCTCTGGTAACCCCTTGACCTGTTTAATTTTTTTTTTTCACAGCACATTTTAAAATACTATTTTTGATTGTTTGTTCATGTTTACTTGTGTGGCAGATATCACTTATCTGTAGCTCTTTCTATCATCCATTATCCCTTTCTTATTAGTTACAGAAAACATTTTAGCTCTTTGCTGCCCAATTAAAAGACAGGCCTCTCTTGCCTGTAAGCTATGTGACTATGCTCTGCCAATAAAATATAAGAAGTGTTGTTGGAAATTTTAAAATTAGTTTTATGTCTACCAATTGTGTTAGAAATATTTTTTTCCAGTATCTTATTGTTTAACTACCTTTGGGGAGAAAAGGTATTTATTTATTTCATATATTCAAATTTATCCATCAATTACATTATAGCTTGTGGATTTTATGTACCAATTAGAAGCCCTTCTCTACTCCAATATTAGAAATATATTTACCTATATTTACTTCTAAAATTTTATGTTTTCATTTTTTAATACTCTAATGTTTTATCTATTCTGTGTTGTTTTTCTTTAAAGACTTCTGACAGCCTGAATACTAGAGAGTACTATAACAATCCTTATAAATCATGCATTATTTTATCCATTTAAAGGTAAGAATTCAACATTTGGGCTAAAGACAAGAAATGTCAATACAGGGTGTGCAAAAGTAGGTTTGCAGTTTTAAGTATGCAAAAATAGTTTATTCTTGTATTATTTATTAACTAGAGGCCCAATGCACGAAATTCGTGTAAGGGGCTTGGCCCATCACAGCCCTGGCTGCCTTGTGGCCCACCCACTGGTCCTTCCAGAAGGTCATCCGGAAGGTCATTCCGGAAGGTTATTCTGCCATCAGGTCTAATTAGCATATTAGCTCTTTATTATATAGGATTATTGTATTATTTGCCATACAAACTGTAAGCCTACTTTTGCCCACTCCATATATAAACATGTCATAACCTACTCAAAAAGCAATGAAGATATGGAAAAAGTAAGCTAATACAACATTATGTGCTTTAATATCCCTATTTTTAAAAGGTATGTTGATGACATTATAAAATCTCTTGAAACCAATGTTAGCTATAAATATATCTTCTAGCTTGCTTCCAAACAAATTAGCAAAGATTGACATGTATTTTAATCTCAACTAAAGTACTAAGCCAGAAATAAAAATAAAAATGTAAAAAAAAATGTTTTCAACATTTATAAAATAACTGGGTTACTTCAGCTTAAAAAAGTATGACTTACTAATAAAGGACTTCGATCTAGCAGTGAAAGTGACCTAAGGAATCTATAAATATCTGTTGAGAAAATATTTACACTTTAATTTATACTTTTTTCTTTTTGTTGTTGTTATGGTTAGTAGTTATTTTACATCTCTCCTTCAATCCCCAACAAAGAGAAAATAACAATAAATTCTCCTTAAGCTGTTTATATCATAGAGTCCAGAGAAAAAAGCCTCCTTCTGAGGAAAAGAATCCTGTAAAAACACTCTATTGTTTACAGTTTATACCCAGAAATCATTTTGGGAAGTACTTCCTAATTTCCAAATTTCTTTATTTTAAAATTTCATTATTAATTTTTCTTTTATTTATGGTCAGTAACAGTATGCAGATTTTCTTTTTTACCTAAAAATACTCAAATACATAAGTGATACCTAGTTTGAAAGAAAAAGTTCTTTTATGAGCAATAAAATGCTATGAATGGATGTGGGAATAGTCTATGTATTAGTTTTTATGAGTGCCTCAGTTATTTAAATAGTATATCATCTTCAATGTGGATTATACTTCTAGTTGCTAAAAAGACTTCCTTTCATATACAAAAAGAAATAAAGGCTCCAGAAAACACAAAACTAGTTTTCAAACTGTTCCAGACATTATTAAAACAAGAAAACTAACCACTGCCAATAACATTGTCTTTATGTTTTCCTATATTTCACTTCCTTAGAACACTTAAATATTTTCTTTAAAAAAAACACAAACCTTTAAAAATTACTCATAAAATTATTATTACTACAGAACTTCTACACAGAATCAAATAATTAAATTTTAAAATCCTTCTCACAGTTTATTAAACTCAGCCTATGAATGAGTTGACCAAATGCTAGGAGACTTGAGCCTAAATTATCTTAGCAGTGGATTAGCTTTGACTTTCACTTATCAGCTAGCATGGAAATACATATCCACTTTACATATACAAACACCCAAAATTGTCTTTTTTACTGGGTTCCTAATCTACCAGCCCCCAGTTCAGTGTCTAACAACATAATAGGCCACCAATTGACCTGTACTGAAGGAACGAATTCAACAAACATATGAAATATATTTCCCATATTTAAACAAAAAATGGAAGGAGTTTAATTACAAAGTATAGTACAAAGTATCCACTCAATAAATTATGAAAATTAACTGCATGAAAATATTCACCTCCCAGAATAAAGATACTATCAATGATAAGGATTCTAATTATTTAATACAGTATGTTCTCAATTTTTTTTTCTTTTTGAGTGACTGGACAGCAGAGCTAAATGTATAACAAAAAAATAAAATAACTGGCTGAGTTCTCTGGTCATATACTCTTAATTCCAATATTTGATGCTTCTTGAAAGTTAGTTTCATCATTAAAGTTGAAGTAGTGAATATATATTTCATTTAAATGCCCTAAATAATTTTCACCTGAAATTGGTTTACAGCTTTTTGCTACTAAAAAAGGAACTAAGCTTTGATATATACATACACATACATATATATATGTTACACATACTTTTTCTCATCTGATACTACAAAAGGAATAATAAATGTGCACATACATGTACCCACATCATCCTTTGTCACAAATAGCACATATTCTTGAATAATCAAAATATGGTGAAGTTAGGTTCTAAACAATGGACAAAGCATCAATGTCATGGACTTAAAATTAGCCTTTGGAGCATCATTGAACATTCCTTTGGAAAAAGCTACATTTGGAAGCTCATGTCCTATCCTTAATAAACCCAAGACAGACAGCTTTTCTCCCATCTTGTAATTAATCATGTTTTCTTAAACTAAGCATTATGCGTATGTTGCTTGCTAATCTGAGACCATATGAAAAAACTTTAATTAAATATACAATCACATAGAGTAGGATAAGATGTTCATATTCAAAGAAACACTTGGAACTGAGATTGTTTTCTATTACATGCTTATTCTGAGTCATTCCCATAGAGGGGAGATATGGAATCACTCAAACTTCTTATTTCTCTAAGTACATATAATTAAATTCCTGTAAGTTAAATGGGGGTGGGGGGGGGACAACTAACCTAAATGAAGCTACTACTTATGACCAGAGACTAATTATCAAATTTCTTTTTCCCAAACTGTACATTTGACCCATTACTAGGTTGTGAAATGAATTTAAATCTGAGATCTGAGCTGCATTTTCTTAAATAACAGAATTTAAAAGAAAATATCAGTTAATAACATAATAAATATTCTTTCTGAAATTATGTGTGTCTGTATGATGTGTATACGTACTAGGTTGAGATGTAAAATGAATGTCCTATTTTGGAAATTGTAATTTTGTAAAGATTTGAAAAAATATAGGGTTAATACTATATATCCTTGGGTAGTGTGATTTCTAGCTGAATAAGTGGAAGAACAAGCAAAAAAAATATGTAAAAGTGAATGTTTAATTCCTTAAATACTTGTTTACAAAACAAGTGGGAGTTCGACTTCCCCTGTTTCCCCAAGAGCAGGAGTATGGTTTGACTGAAGTTTTATGATATTCGGGAAACTAGCAATCTTGTCTCACATTACTGGAATGCCTATGATCATCTAAGTGTCAATATTACAAAAATCTCAGGTACCACTGCTCTAAGCTAATTATGACCATCTCTATTCTTACATCTGCCTAGAATACTTCATTCATCTTCCTAGTCCCTTATATGTCCAAGATCACAAAGGCCAACACCCTGTTTGAAGCCAATTTTTTAAAGACTGTAACAGTGGACGTATTTAGGGCAGTGGTTCTCAACCTTGGCTGCACATTAGAATCACCTGGGAATCTTTTTAAAATCCTGATTAACGGAATGAGGCCCAGAAATCAGGATTTTAAAAAGATTGCCAGGTGATTCTAATGTGCAGCCAAGGTTGAGAACCACTGATTTAGGGGAAGAGGTCAGTCACAGGGCTGTTTCCAACAGATTTTCTAAATCAAATCAATCATAAAAAGTAACTATCTTAGCTCCTTAGCCACTAGCGGTGGTTCTCAACCTTCTGGCCCTTTAAATACAGTTCCTCATGTTGTGACCCCCAACCATAAAATTATTTTCGTTGCTACTTCATAACTGTAATGTTGCTACTGTTATGAATCGTAATGTAAATATCTGATATGCAGGATGGTCTTAGGCGACCCCTCTGAAAGTTAGACCCCCAAAGGGGTCGTGACCCACAGGTTGAGAACCGCTGCAAGGGCATAACTCTGGGAAATATAGAATGAGGGCTCTGGAGGCAAGTGTAGAAGATATGGGCACATAGTACCTTAGGGCCCCAGAGTAACAAGGGTTACAATGAAACAATGGTTTCCTATTTGTAAACTACCCAAGGGTGAGAGGTGCAGAGGGCACCATGCTGTACTTCTCTAGCATCTTTTCTTAATCTCTTCCGTCCTTATCCACTGAAGAATAGAAAATGGTAAAATAAAAAAGGAGGCAGCCACCTAATACCCACCCACTTGTTTAAACAAAAGGCATATACAATTTCAACGAGCGTGTCCTGTTTTTACAGCCCTGACTCAATCAGCAAGGACCTACAAAAGGGGCAAAATCATCCAACAGCACAAACTCTGAATTTCATGGATTTTTATTCCTTTCCAGTGGTTCTCAACCTTCTGGCCCTTTAAATACAGTTCCTCATGTTGTGACCCAACCATAAAATTATTTTCGTTGCTACTTCATAACTGTAACGTTGCTACTGTTATGAATCGTAATGTAAATATCTGATATGCAGGATGGTCTTAGGCGACCCCTGTGAAATGGTCGTTCGACCGCCAAAGGGGTCGCGACCCACAGGTTGAGAACCGCTGATTAGCTGATTCCACTCCTAAAGACACCTTGGTGTTTTGCAGCTCCCGATTGGTTCTGTCTCGAAGACAGTGATCCAAAGACCTACGATGGAGTGAACCCCAACATTGAATGACCCAACCCTGTCTAAAGGCCCTGCTAGCAGCCAGCGAGTGTGGTCCGGATGCAGCATTAAAAGGGCCATCAACTCTCTCTGCACATGATCCAGCCACCTCTGGTGCACACACAGTCTGCACATTACGGGAACGCCATGTGCACGCCGCTGACCTAGGAAATGACATTAGACTCTAATAATTGGAGTGAAACTTCCCGCTCGAGGACCGTGGGCCTCCTGCGGCGGGTTCCTAAGGATCAAGCATCACCCACTGTGTGTGCAAGTTCCCGGCCCAAGGCGCCCTCAAAGTTATGGGTCTGTGTTTCCAACTTAAGTTGACTGACAAGGGAAGGTGTGGTTCTGAACATTAAAAACAGGCTCCTCCCTCGGTGCATTTGACTTGAACGAGTGTTTAAACTTTCCTGCTCCGCATTTCAACGCGTGCCCTGCACGCCGCGCCCGCGGCACCCAGAGCCTCTGCAGTTTGGCGGAGACTAGGCTTGGGGAGGAGGTGCGGGGAGGGCGTGACTGCCGGTCCAGGCGGCACCCAAGCGAAGAAAACCAAACCCCGGGAACCGAGAGCTCAGTTGGGCGCGTGTGCAGGGAGGGGCGGGAGCCCGCGGACTGGGGGGCAGCGGGG